CAGCATGGAAGAGTGTGGAAAACACAGGCTTTTTAATTAAAAATAAATAAATAAATCCAACAAACCCTGGCTTTAAGGTTCGACCGAGAAAAGAGGAAGAGGCCACTGGGGTGAGCTGTGCAAACATCTGCGTGGAGGAGAGGTGCCTCCTGCCCAGCAGGAGCAGCTGGGAGCTGGAGGATCCCTGCTCTTGGCTCAGCCTCACCCCACGGCACCGGACTTTGGGATGAGCCCAGCTCAGGGCCAGGACAACGCGACAGAGGCGGCGTCTGCTGGACTCACTGCGCCCATTTCTGCACCGCACGTTGGCTGCCGGGAGGATATTTTTAACTGCCCCTGGTTTACTCTCTCCTCTCTTAGCTGTTATCACAGGCTGGGAGAGGATCTGTGAGCTCTTTGTGAAAAGCTCGCTGCCGATCCCAGGCCAGATAAAGCCGTGGAAAGCCGGCTCTGCTCCCCCCCCCCGAGCCCAGTGGCGCGTGGGCGCGGGCCGTCTCGCAGCAAAAAATGGAAGTGACTGCTTTCTAACCGCTTCCTTTCTTTCTGGGTCTCTCTCTCCCTCCTGCCCCTCCTGACAAGTTCGTTTCCTGTTATTGATAACGGCCCCTGCACCCAGAGAGAGGTCACCACGCTCCGTGCCCTCCCCCAGCAGCAGAAACCCGCAGCCCGGGGCAGGAGGAGCAGCGTGGGGAGCAGCCCCCGGCCGGGCTCGTGCCGAGGTCCCCGAGGGGTGCAGGTGGCCAGATCTGAACTTTCCTGGAATTTGAGATTGCTCTGTGCCTTCTTGCAAGGGGCACTGCTTTGTCCCACGTGCTCTGGGGATGGAGAGCCATGTTTTGATGTTTTGTTGGTGTTTTTTTTTTTTTCTTGCTTTGGGAGTTTTCTTCCTTCCCACGCGCCTCACGGTGTTTTGCAGGCTGCTGCTGTGGGCCGGAGCCTCCCGAGGAGATGTGTGGGCATCGCGGCCTCGGGCAAGCTGCTGTTGGTTGCCTCTGGGCCAAGTCTCCCTGGGGGAAACTGAGGCACGGGAAGGCATCCAGGCAACCTCTCCAAAATCACTGGGAGGCAACGGGAGGAGCGCAGCCCGAGCTCGTGCACCAGGCACAAGCCCAAGGACACGGGGATGGGCACGGTGCTGCTGCCCCCCCTGGGTCCCCCCCACCTTGTGGCTCTGTGTTTTGGGTGACCGAGCAGCCCCGTGGCTCTTGCTGTGCCCCTCTGGGTGTTGCTGTGTAAGGAGCCGACGTCTCAGCACCTCGGGGACCTGGCCCCCCAGGCTGGCTGGGATCCCCTCTCCCCTCACCACAACCCCCTGTGCGTAAAGCTAAAAAGAGCGGTGAGAGCTTGGGGAGGGGAATAAAGCACGCTGCTGTAAGGCTCCTTCGCACCAGGAGGGCAGCTTGCTGGGGGCTGCTCCTGTGCCCACGCAGCCCCCAGTGGCACCGGCGGTCCGCCAGCTTTGCCTCTGCCTGCATGAGCTGGAGCCAAGCTCGGCTCGTTCGCAGGAGATGCAGGACAGCAGCTAACTCCACAAACAGAAAGTGGCTCTGCTCAGCAGTCATTCAGAGAAAAAACCCCGGCTAGGCAATCAATCCAGGTGACAAACCATCTTCCTTCTCCTTGAGGAGACGCAGCGGGCAGGGGCTGGCAAGTCCAGCAGCAGATGCCTTGAAAAAAAAAAAAAAAAACACAGCAAAAAAAAAAGGAGCAGCGACAGCTGAAGTGCTTCCAGCAGGAGCCGGGCAGCGGCAGGAGCAAACTCTGCACCGGCTGGCAGCGGAGCAAGGTCGTGTCCGCGCCTCCAGCCCTCCATCCCCGGGAGCAGCTCCCTGGCGGGGGGATGCTGAGGGTCCCGGGCAGGGTTTGGGGCAGCTCCGTGCCCCCCAGCCCCACCGGCAGCGAGAGGTTGGCACGCCGCGGTGCTGGGTGCCCGGGGCTGTCCTTGGGAATGCGCTCAGGCAGAGGGAGCTGGAGCAGAGGGATTTTTTTTTTTATTTTTTTTTTTCTCCAGGAAAAGCGAGCTGCAGAGGTGCTTCAGGTCGGCTGCCGGGTGCTGGCCGGCCCAGGGGCAGGGGGTGCGTGATGCTGAGCCCCCCGAGGATGGGCTCCGAGCGGGATGTTTGCAGCTCCCGTGCTGGCGCTGCGGGGTGCTGGGGCTGATCACGCAGCCCTTCTCCTCGCCCCTGCTGGGAGCTGATCAGCCGCTGCTCTCCGAGTCTGCTCCCAGGAGGCCGCTTCACCTTCAAGCCCGTGAGCCCTGTTTAGGCGGCGAAGGAGCTGGGCAAATTTCCAGAGCCCTGCAGGACATTCCTGAGCTCCCCGCAGCGTCAGCAGGAGCAGCACCAGCCCTGCCCGGGCCCTGGACCCGAAGATGCTGGAGGCGCGGTGAGACGAGCCCCTGGTGCGGTAGGGCAGCGCTGGGGGGGCACCGGCTGCATTTTGGTGCTGTGCCTGCTCCGGTGGTTTTGGGGTCACGCTGCTGCTTGGGGTGTGGGAGGAGAGGTGCCGGGGTGTGCAGGTCGGGGTGGGGAGGCTGGGGGAGGTTTGTGCTGGGGTTTGGAGGGCAGGAAGGGGAGCGAGGACTGGCTGGGCTCTTTGGGGGAGAACGACCCCCAGCCCAAAGCTGGGAGCTGCTCTTTTTATGGTGGATGAGGATGTGGCCAGAGGATGCTCAGGGTGCAAAATCACCCCATGGGAGCGGAGTTTGAACATGCAAGTGAAGTCAGCAAGTGCCGCTCAGGGATAAATCTGGGCATCCCTTCCCAAAGCGCCAGCTCTGGAGATCTCCCATTTCCTGCTGGGCATGCTGAAAATAAAACCACTGCCATACAGCCCCTTGGAGCTCTGCCACGGACCTCTCCCTTCCCTAACCCCCAGCTCGTGACCGAAATCCTTTGGCATGGGTGTGCACAGACAGGGGACACGCAGGGTCCCATGCCTGGCACGCTGAGCACCCCGGACCCCTTGGGTCTGCGCCTCCATCACCGGTCCCCATCACAGGTCCCCATCTCCTGTCCTCCATCAGCGGTCCCGGGGAAGAAGCAGGATGGGCTCCCCACCACCGGATGGGAAGCAGCAGGGCTGTCACCCTGTGTTGCCCCCCCCAGACCCATTTCCTTCGGCACCGCTCCCTCTCAGCCCCTTGCCAGCTTTGCCCTCTGGGGACATCGCTTCCTGCAGGTGGAGGAGGCTGTGCTGCCTCCCCGTCCTACCCTGAGCAAACAGACCCTGGGCTGGGGTCTTCCTCCAGCCCGGAGACCCTCGTACCTTGACACCAGCCCCCAGCAGCCCCCTTTTGAGGGCTGGGAGGTGCACATTTTTCTGCCCCTGGGTTTCTGGGACTTGGCACATCCCTGCACCACCTGGAGGCGCAGGACGTGCCTTGGGATCTCCATTTCGAAATCCTTTAAAATTACGACCTTTTATCACACGGGGCCACAGATCCTCCTGCCCATCATTGGCAGCAGTCAGGGAGCCAAATCTTCATGGCTGTATTCCCATACGGCGTGTGGGGTCAAACGCTACCCGAACCCAGGTGCTGGGAACCTCAAAACTAGATTTCCTGGGGCAAGGAGGGATCACTAAAACCGACAGCACACGGGGAGCTCTTGGCCTCCACAGCAGATTCTCTCCACACCACTTGTTTTTGGATAAAGACGCATTTTGGTGAAAGGCTTCCATCCCCTTTTGGGAAGAAGGTTTAAAATCCAGGGGGGGATTTGGGGGCCAGGGAAAGGCAGGAGGGGCAGCCCCAGGGGTTTGCCTCTTGGCTGCGTCCCCAGGGACCCTTTGAGCTCGAAGGCACCTCGATGGCAGGGGTGTTAACCACACTCAGGGGGCAGATACAGTCCTGACAGCCTTCCTAGGAAGGAATCCTCTGCCTGATAGGTCAGGGAAGAACTCTGTTTACTCTGGTCCCCTACTGAAGGCGTGCACTATGCAGCCTCCTGTTCATACTGAGCTGTGGGTCAGTCTTAGGAAAGCTTCTTAGTCGAAAGGACAGAGGGTGGGAGGGAAAGGCAGTGCTGGAGCTTGTTTGGCGATGGTGGGGCCGTCTCTGAACCCCTCCAGCCAGGTTCCTGCATCCCACACGGGGCAGGGAGCGACTCCTCGGGCCTGATACAGGGTCCAGCCCCTGGCCTGCTGGGCTCCTGGGTCCTGCTCACAAGACCCTTGGTGGCCTTGTCTGCAGGGCTGCTGGCCAGGCAAGCGGCGAAGGCATTTGGGCCACTGTGCCCAGAGCAATTGGTGGGGAGCAGCGGGGCCGCTGCAGCGGGGTGGGGGCAGAGAAGAGGAAGGAAACGGGGCCGAGCAGCGCCTGTGCGCAAAGCCTGGGCCACGACAAACAGGAAGAGTGGCAGGGCTGCGGGGAGGCAGCGAGCGCCTGAGGGCATCGCAGGAAGGATGTGCAGCGGCCCGAGGGCAGGCAGAGCTGTCCTACCTGAGCCCGACCCTCCCGGGACCTGCCTGCCCCCATTCCCTGCCCCCTGTTGGGGTGGTCCCAGCTGTAGGGGGGTGATGGTGGCACCCCCCGGGTGGATCCTGGGCACGTCACCCCACTGGCTGGGCACAGCAGGGTGCGAGGTGCTGCGCCCTGGCTGGGAACGGCAGCGGGTGAGGGGATGCAGGCAGTGTGGCATGGGTGGGGGACCCGTCCTCGGTCCCCACTGGGGTGGCACGTGGCAGTGCCACCATGCCACGTGAAGCCACGCTCAAAACACTGCCAGCATCCCTGTCCCCATGCCAGGCTCCCACCCATCTCTCTGTGTCCCTGCAGCCGGCCCAGGCCGTGGCCGGGCGCAGAGGGCACCGTGCACCCCACGGGCCCTGGCGGAGACACCCCTGGGTGCACCCCAGGATTTTTTTGGGGGGAAAAGACTGCACCCACGGGCACACGACGGGGGGTTCGCCGGCGGGGGAGCGGGGCTGGGGCTGCAGGCAGCCCGGCGGAGCCGAGCTGCGGCGATGTGGCCGGTATGTGTGTGGGCGGCAGGCAGGGTGGGGGAGAAGGAGGGAGAGGAAGCGGCAGAGGCAGCAGCTCCTTTGATAAGCAGCTTCCTGAACACTTTCAAACCCTGGTGTTAGACCGACACGCGCGGCACCCGCGGCCCTGTGCCGGCCCGGACGGAGCCCATGCCTCGGGGCAGCAGGTAGGCAGCCCCCGGCCCGCGGGCGCAGTGCCGATGGTCCCGTGCCACCCTTCGGAGAGGGGACCCCCACGGGCAGCTCCAGGCCCTGGTGACTACGTGCCCTGGGCATGTGCTCGCCCGCAGGCAGCGCAGGTGCCCGGGGCAGGGTTGGGATGCTGGCGGGGAGGTGGGGATGCTCTCCGTGCAGGTGCAGGGAGCCGAGGATCTTCCCAAGGTCCTGCTGCGTGCCAGGGGCTTGCTGAGGCATCTCCCTGGTGTTTCGTGGCTGGTGTGCAAGGGGCGGTGTTGGGGTCGCAGCCTGCTGCTCCCGGCACCGGGGGAAAATGCAGGATCTGCTGGGATCAGCCCGTGGTGCCTCGGTTCCCGGGGAGCTCCTGCTCTGCCCGAACGGGGAGCACCCCACAGCACGGGGCACGGGGACGGTGCATGTGGCGGTGGTGGCACTGCCACCATGTGAACGCTCATCCCTCCAGGCCAGGAATGCTGCTGGGCAGCGGGGAGTCCCGGGGAACAGGCTCCTGCCCCGGCCACATTCCCAAAATTCACGGCCGTGGCCACGCTGGGGTCTTCCCTGACCTCATACACCCGCTGGGACCCCGGGGTCTGGCTCTCCACAGGGACCCCTGGGAGCTGCTGGGGTATTTGGGACCCAGCTCTGTGCCCACTGCTCTGACCCTGCAGCATCCCCCGTCCCGTTGGGGACATCTCCCCTCACGGGGGAGGCCGGGGATGGCAGGAGGACCTCTGCCCGCTGCTGCCCGACCGTGACGCAACATCGCCCAAATCTCCCTGCCCGGGGCTGGTGCTGATGGAGCCCCGGCACCCTCCTCCAGCCGGGCCACCCCAAAGCCTCTTGCTCAACCACCCGGATAAAACAGTTTCCTCTTGACAGCAGCCGAGCCCTGCGGGATGGAGGAGGCTGTCCCGGGGCCATTCCCACCCTCAGCAGAGCTGTGAGGCTGTGCAGGGAGCCTGGCCCTGCACCCTGCGTCTCCGAGCACCCTCACCCTGCCTCCTGCATCCCCTGGGGGCTTCTACCCCCCTGAGGGCAGCCCAGGAGCCCCCAGCCCTTCCCCATCTCACCGTGGGCCCCAGCTCTCCTGCCTCCTCGCTGTGTCCCTAGGGCAAAGCAGGCGTGCTGGGGAGGTGCGAGCTCCTTGGGGACGTGGAGGGTAACCTGGGCTCCCCCAGAACCAGCCCATGCTGTGCAGCACAGAGCGTGGGCGTCCTCCTCTCGGTGCAAGCAGAGCTTGTGCCATGCCCGGGCTCATCAGTGGGCACCTGCAGAGCCCGCAGTGACCGTGCCAGGAGCTGTCCCCACGCCACCCGCCTGTCCCCAGGGGTGCTGGCAGTGGTGCCCATGGCTCCAGGGCAGCTGAGCACCCAAACCCCATCCCTTGCTCGGGCACAACCCCATTCTGGACACCCCACCGAGGGGTTTGGCAGCCTCGCTGCATCCCTCTCACCCGCCTTGTGTTCTCCAGCTGCTTCTCCTCTGATGGCTCCTTGACCCCTCGGCAGCTGAGGGCCGCCCGCCGCCACCCGCCGTGCTTCAGGCCGAGGGCTCCGTGGCTGCCGCAGCATGGTACAGACCTGCTCGGTGTGCTCCGGAGCTCATAAGGGCAGCCTGACCCCGCGGGCAGCCAGGGGGGACATGGAGAGGACGGAGAAACCCAGCCCGTCCGCCAAGAAGCACGTGAGGCTCCAGGAGAGGTGAGCACGGCTGGGCAGGATGTGCCAAAAATGCCCAAAACCCCAACCCCGCACTGGGGCTCCCCAAAACCCCCATTGCCTGTGCCATGGGGGGTCAGCCAGGGACCCTTTGCCTCTCAGGAGGGGCTCCAACGTGTCGCTGATGCTGGACATGAGCTCGCTGGGCAGCGTGGAGCCCATCCAGCCCGTCTGCACGCCGCGGGACATCACGCTGCAGTTCCTGCGGACGTCCAGCCGCGTGCTGAGCAAGGAGGAGCTGCAGCAGCGCGCCCAGAGCCTGGCCCAGCTCCAGGAGGAGTTTTCGGTGAGATATCCCCAGCCCCTCAACCTCCTTGCATGGGGATGCTCGCACTTTGGGGACTGGTGGGGTTTGGGAGCTTTCCCCTGGGAGATGAAGGCTCCGAGCCCGGCAGCACCAGGGGCAGGGGATGTGGGAGGACAGGGTGGGGGGGACACGGTGCCAAGCTCTTCTCTCAGCGTGGGCTGTCTGTGAGGTGTCCCACCACGGCTGGGGTGAGGACGGGGCTCATCCCAGCAGCTGGGGTCTCTGGTGGTGCCAACAGGTCCCGGGGCAGCGTCCCGTTGCCTGTGGGGCCAGACCCGCCACGCCGAGGGGACGCAAGCAGCATCGAGAGGGTTTTCCTCAAAATTGTTCTCCCTCCCTGCAGAAAATCCCACCCAACTTCGTCAGTCTGGAAGAGCTGGAGATCCCTGGACATGCCTCCAAGGACAGATACAAAACCATCCTCCCCAGTACGTGCTCCCCTGTGCCCCACATCCACCCAGGTGCCCTGAGCAGGGCGCACGTGGCTGCGCTCCCGAGTGGCCCCGGTGGCCCTGCTGTGCTTGTGCCCACCTCGGCTGTGCTGCAGGGGTCTGTGCCATGCTGGGGGGCGGTTTTTGGGGATGCTTTGGGGTGTGCAGCACAAGACAGCCCAGCCTGGGCTGCTCCCTGATGCCGTGGGGCCTTATGCATCCCGAGGGCGCATTGCTGGGGGTGTAAGGGCTGAGGAGGTCACTGGAGGTGGTGTCAGCGGGAGGGAGCTCACAGTCTGGGGGGAATTCCTGCCTTGTCTTCCAGATCCTGAGAGCCGGGTCTGCCTCAGGAGGGCAGGGAACCAGGAGGAAGACAGCTACATAAATGCCAACTACATCACGGTGAGTGCCCTGCCTGCCTGGTCTCCCATGCCCAGCTGGGGACCGGGGTGCGACCTCCCCAGCACCTCACTCTCACCCCAAAACTGGCTCATTTTGGGCAGGTGCCAGCTTCGCCTGGCTCCTCGGCTTCCTTCTGAGCAGTTCTCACATCAGCATCCTTCTCCCTGCGGCCAGCCGGGGTGCTGGGAGGCAGAGGAGGGTGTGTGGGTGGTGAGAATGGCACGGGAAGGGGGGGACTCGGGAAGCAGCCCACAAACCTGCCCTCTGGCAGGACCGGCAGACCCGCTGGAGGTGTTTTGGGGGCACACGATGGACCTGGAGAGCCTCCAGGACTCAAAACACCTCTGAGCTTTTCGATTTTCTTTGGCTCTTTCACACTGCTGGGGGTGCCTGGAGCAGGGGCAGGGCAGGAGCCTTTGCCAGCCTTCCCTCGAGGTGCCCCCAGAGCCTTGGGGGGGAGGCAGCTCTGGTGGGGCCCATCTGGGAGCACCCCATCCCAGGCAAAACACCTTCACACGCTTCTCACTGAGCGAGCTCTGCCTCGCCAAGCATCCGTCACACTGGGTGCTGTCACCCCAAAACCCGGGGATGCTTGGAAGGAGCGCGGGTGCACGTGGCTTGCTGCCAGGCTTGGAGGATGGAGAGGATGCCCGGCAGCTCCTGGTCGGGTCCATGAAAGGATTTCAAGGGCAGGTTTAGGAGGAAATATCCAGCGTAGCTCAGCCTCTGGCCTGTAGAGGAATTCCAGCACCACTGGCAGGGTCAGGACGCAGACCCCCTCGCACCCCAGGGCCCCCCATCCCTGACAGCCCCTGTGCTCGGCAGGGCTACGCGGGGCGCCCCCGGGAGTACATCGCCACCCAGGGACCCATGCCAAACACCGTGACCGACTTCTGGGAGATGGTGTGGCAGGAGGAGGCGCCCCTCATCGTCATGATAACCAAGCTGGAGGAGCGCAAAGAGGTACCGCCACCCCTCCCCTGGCCTCGGCACAGCACCCTGGCCTGGGGCAAAGGGTTGGGTGGGGGGATAACAACAGCCACAGGGTGGTGGGAGACCAAAGGAGGCTCTGAGCACCCATCTGATTCCCTGCTTTGCTCCCAGAGGCTACCTCCTTGGAGGAGGAGATCCCCTGGGATGCTACCTTGGCCCCATGCAGCAAAGCCTCTCCCGCTCTGGTGGCCTCTCTTTCTCTGAGCACGCTTTGCCAGCTGGATAATAGGATGGAGAGAATTAGGGGAACCCCTGGGAGCTCCCAGCTGTGGCTCCAGGTGGGGATGGCATCCTTTGTGGTGGCAGGACATGCGTGGATGGGGATTGCCATGGTCTGAAAGCCATAGGGAATGGCACAAGGAAGGGAGCAGGGGGAGAGGGATCTGTCCTATCCGTCCACCTCCACCTTCCCCGTGCCCCCACACCTCCCCAGGTGATGCCCCTTCCCAAAAGCACCGAGCAAAGGGCAGCTTAGACACCCAGTGGGTTCCCCGAGCACCTCTGCAGCCCCCAACCCTGCCGTATCCCTGCAGAAATGCTTCCACTACTGGCCTGAGAAGGAGGGCACCTACGGCCCCTTCACCATCCGTGTGCAGGGGGTGAGCGAGTGCGCGGAGTACCTGGTCCGGGACCTCTCCATCCAGGTGGGTCCGAGCCCTGTCCTGGGGCCAGCGGGGGACCCCGGCAATGTCCCCACACCCCCAGGCTCTCTAGCTTCTCTATCAGCCCCGTCGCTCTTTGCACCATGCCTTAATGCCCATCGGTGCTCCGTGGCCACCCTGGGCTGGCTTCAGGGGGCTGTGGGAATGGCACGGGGACATGCTGCTGCTGCTCCCTGCTGGGGCCATGCCACATGTGGGATGGAGGAGGGGTCTTGGGGCACGGCTGGTTCTCCCCAGCAGGGCATTTGGACACCCTAAAGTGTCCCTGGCCCCAGGGTTGCTCCCAGAGGCTGAGGAGAGGTGAGGTGGGCACAGGCTGCCCAGCCCTGCTTGAGCACAGCTCCGCACCTCCCTCCGGCCCTGCACGGTGAGTCTGTGCTCCCACATCCTTATTTCTCTTCCTTCTGTGCTGGAAAAGCTGCAAGGTGAACGCCGCCAGGTCAAACACATCCTCTTCCCTTCCTGGCCGGACCAGCAGACGCCCGAGTCAGCCAAGCCCCTGCTGCACTTGGTGTCCAAGGTGGAGGAGACGCTGCAGGCTGCGGCCAGCCCGGGGCCCATCGTTGTGCACTGCAGGTAACGCGTCCCCCTCACCCCCGTGTGTCCCAGCCTTGGGGTCACCCTCACCCACGAGCCGGTCCCATTGGGGTGCAGAAATCCCTGGCATTGCCCCAGGAAATGCGTTCAAACTTCCTCCTGCCCTGGCACTGGGATGACAGCACTGGCACGGTGCCATAAAGAGACCTGGTTTGTTCCCAGCTCTGTGGACACCGCACAGGGAGCAGGGGAGTTTTGCAGGGCCAGGACCTAGCCACAAAACCCATGGCAGCCCCCCTGGAGGAGGTGGCCTCTGAGCATTTTCCACAGTCCCTGCACCATGCAGGGACAGAGGCACAGGCTGGGCACCACGCCGAGACCCCCTTGCAATGGTGCCAGCCTGAATCTGGTGGTGCCTCGCTAAGAAAGCTGGTCCTACAGCTGGAACTGGGACCCCAAATCCCTCTAGGAGTAAATCAGGGCAGCACACCAGCCAGGGATTACATCCAGCTTGGGCAGAGCAGTGCTGTGGGTGCTCAGCACAGCCGTGTCCGTCCTGCAGCGCAGGCATCGGCCGGACGGGGTGCTTCATCGCCACCAGGATCGGGTGCCAGCAGCTGAAGGACACTGGAGAGGTGGACATCCTGGGCATCGTGTGCCACCTCCGCATCGACAGGTCGGTGCTCGGGGCACGCTGCCCCTCGCGGGGTGCTGCTGGGTGCCGAGCCTGGGAGGGGGGATAGGGGGGAGCGTGGGGACGGGGAAAACAAAGAGGTGTGGAGGATGAATTTTGATGGAAACTGGAGTTCTGAAAGATGGAGATGTGGCAGCAGCAGAGTGCCCATGGGCTGGTTCTGCTGTCAGGGTTACGGTGGCTCTGGGGACACGAGGGGGAGCGGCCCCAAACCTGGCAGCTGGCGCACCCCTTCCAGCCCAGCCACTAGCTCAGAACCGCACTGATCTGCTGCCTTTAAAGAGAAGCAGCAGTAGGATTACCACCCAAACCGCTGCTGATCTGCATTTTGAACAGCCCAGCAGCGCTGCTGAGCCCAGGCACCCTTTGGGGAGCCCCGGGGCTGTTTCGGGTGCACCCAGGCAGGGTGGGTGATGCAGGAACATCCGTGTGCCAGGAGTTTTGTTGATGTCAGCGGCTCCTGCCCTTCCCTTGCAGGGGTGGGATGATCCAGACGAGCGAGCAGTACCAGTTCCTCCATCACACGCTGGCTCTGTACGCTTCCCAGCTGCCAGAGGAGGGAGGCCACTAGCGCCGGGCTCCGCCGCTGCCCGGCCTCGCTCCGACCTCCCCGGCACCAGCCTCGGGGCTGCCTCCACTGAGCCCTCTCCTCCTCTGCCCAGCCACTCAGCACGGCGTGGGGAAGCCTCCCTGGAGAAGCACAGCTGAGAAAACCCACCGGGATCACAGCATCGCGACCCCAGGGACAATAAAAACTTCGGGAGGGGGTTGCCCAGGGGCTGCAGGGGGTGCTCAGGGTGCCTGCTGCTGGCACAAGGCGGATCCCACCCGTGGAAAGAAGCTTTGCCTTTTTACATTGTTTTCTCCTCAACCAGAAGAACAAGCCGTGCGGAGGATCTGAAGGCTCTGGTTTGCCTTGTAGCCACCCAAAAAGCTGCGTCCTGCTCTACTTGGGGCTGGCACTGCTACAGGGAAAGAACCGGAGCCTCTCCGGCTTGCTCCAACCACCCCGCGATGCTTTTCTGGCTAAAGATCCACCCTGACAAATCAGACACACCTTGGTACGGAAAAGCTGTCCTCCTAAAGACCCACTTTGACAATTTGGTGCCAAAGGAGCTCTGGCGGTCGCCGCTTGCTTCCTCTTTGCCTTCAGCCATCGCCTTCCCTCCAGCCTTAACGCAGAGGAGACCCCCGAGCGTGCTGCAGTCCTGCCAGCAACCCATTCCCCATGGCCACCCAGCCTTTTGTTACACGAGGGTTGGGGCTTTCTGTTCTCATTTTTTTGTTGTTGTTGTTTTGTTGGAATCAGAGCAAAATAATACACGGGGTTTGGTTTTGTTCTTTTTTTTGTTGTTGCTGGAATCAGAGCAAAATAATACACAGGTTTTGTTTTTATTTTATTTTTGTTTTTGACTGATGAATTCAGTGAAACATTTCAGCACAAAGCATGGGAATGGAAATATTCCATAAAATATTTTGAATCTATTCCATACTGGTTTTCAGCTGGTGAGCTTCACGCAAACTTCTGAGGACGGCCGAGGAGCTGGGATCACCCCGTGCTGGATGGGTGCTGCGGGGGTACCCCACTCTGCGGGGCTCCCACCCTCTGCCAGGCTCTTGGAGAGCCCACGAAGCCCCCAGGAGTCTCTGGGAGAGCAAAGCTCAAAATCCCAGCTCAGGATTTTGCCTTCTCAGTTAATTGGGGAACCCTTTAACACCACGCTGCTGCCCCCATGGAGCTGCAGTGGAAATTTTGAGCTCGGCTGATCCAGGCTTTACCCAAGTGGCCCACAGCATCCTCCTTTCAAATTTTTCATCCCCATGCTGTGTCCGGCAGGGGAGCTCGAGCAGCCTGTGAGCTGTTCCACGGCAGGGGCTCTCCCTGCACTCCCACACAGCACCTTTCCTCTGCACCTTTCCTCTCTACTTTTTCTCTGCACCTTTCCTCACGCTTGCAGAAGGATTTCAGGAGGAGAGCCACCAGGGCAGGCGTGCAGCAGGGGCTGGGGGTGGGGGGGATGCTGCCAGCCCCTCTCACATCCCCTATCGGTGCTGGGAGTTTTGCCAGCTGAGCTCTCTGATGCAGATTAGAATCAGTCACGCAGTTTTCCTGCCTTCCAATCTCAATTCTACCAGATCTATCTGTTCAGGGCACTTATCAGGCTGTTACCACGTGCTATCTGGGTATCTCCCCATCCTCCCTGTATTTATTCCCCGAGGCTCATTGTTCCTGGGGGCCATGCGGGCTATTGCCTGCGTTATTGCCAAACCCTGTCCCAGGGCTCCTGCAACAGCAGGGGCAAAGCCAGGGGCTCGCTCTGGCCTGGCTGTTATTCCTCTCCCTTAAATCATAGACACAGACCCAGCTGCCTTTTTCCTTCACACGTGTGCCTTGCTTTGCTGTGTGACCGGGCAGGGAGCTGCGGTGCTGGGGGCTCTGGGCTGCAGACTCCCACACACCACATCCCCAAAAGGCCAAGGTGCCCAGCAGGGCTCAGGAAAGGTCCTTCCAACACGTGTCTGTCCTTTGAACCTGGGATTTCCCAGGCTGGTAAAGCCGTTTCCTACTCTTGTGGAAGCAAATCCAGCTGGAGGCTGCCTGGGAGGGGAGAAAAAAATGTGGTGGCCACGTCATGCACACCACCAGGGTGGCACACGCAGGCGGTGTCTTGGAAGAAGAGGACATTGGTGTAGGATGAGCCAAAATCAAGTGTTTTGCATGCTCAGTAACAAGTCTCCTGCCAGATGAGCAATGGAACTGCGGAAAAGTCTCCCATCAGCATCCTTGTGGGCTCCAAGTGGTCAGCGACCAAATCCCTGGCCAGGAAGGAGAAATGTTGAGGCAAGCTTTGACACCCCAGGCTTTGACACCCCGAGGGCAGCTCTGGGGCTCCAGGAGCTCACAGAGGCCCCGGGATCTCAGACAGGGCCAGCAGCGGTGGCACTAAAGGGGATGAGGCCTAGCAGCAGCACCACCAGAGGGATGGGTTGACCTGGTGGCTGGGAGCACTGGGGACACTGGTGTAGGGCCGACATCTGCTCCTGCTCCTTTTCGTTAACCCAGCGGTTAATCAACGTGGTGGGGGATGTGGAGAACCCTCCAGCACCCCACATTTACAGGGGCACAGCCCTGACATCCCATCCCCACTCCTGGCACGCTGAGCATGTGGTGGCACCAGGGGACAGCGCTGTGGGGTCGGGGTCTGGTTTGTGCAGGACATGGTGCTCAGCCCACGGCCCCTCCGCAAGGGGAGGAGCTGGGATTCCCAAATTTTGCCAGCTGGAAATCCCTGGCATCCCCAAAATTGTTGGTGCTGCCTCAAGGCCCTGCCCTTACACCGGGGATAAAGGAAACGGGGGTGGGTGGAGGGGGTCAGTGCATGAAAAGGGTTTTTTTTTCTCAATTTCTCGTGTTTCTCCCAGTGTGGGGACGGACTCGCCCAGGTCCTGTCTGTGCTGTGAGCTCTGTTTTAAGCAAAACACGGGTTTGATGGAGTTTCTCCGTCAGGGAGTGAAGCGCAAGGGCCTGCTATCAGGGAGGCAATCTGCTAACAGCCGAGTGCTGCAGGTGCTTTGGGTGGGAAGCCCCAAACCGGCAGAGGGACATTCCCCGGGCTGAAATCTGTTAAAAAACATCTTCAGGCAGAAATGACACACCAAAACTGGGGGACGTTGAATTTTTCACCGGCATGAGGAGCTGCACTGGAGTAACTACAGAAAGCAGAGCTACTGCGGGGCATGGGGATCTTCAGCAGGCCGCAGCATCCCCGGAAACAAAATGGTTTCTGTCTGAAAACCTAAAAAAAAAAAAAAAAAAAAAAAAAAAAAAGCTGAAAAAAAAGCAGCTGGCCAGTGACTTACAGCATAATGGAAACTGCTCCCCACCCTCGGTAGTCACGGGCTCTGGGGTGCCCACCGTGAGGCAGGTCCCACCACAGCTCAGTTTTGCATTTTATGGCCAAGGAGCCGCACGTGGGGGTCCCACGGGGTCCATGTCGGGGTGGGCTCGGTCTGGAGCTCTCCTCGCCCACACAACCCCCTTAGTAAAATGTTTGTGGTGTTGATTGATTCACCTTATCCCTGAAATTCGCCTGGGAGGGGCTGCTCATTGCTTCTGAGCCTGCTGGCAACGCCTCGGTAAGGCCTTTCCCCCTGCAGCAGGGGAAAAACGCCTTTTGGGGTTCGGGCTAAACGTGGGAAAGGAGTGAAGGCCTCGTCCTTTGGGTCTGGTTCAAACCCAGCCTGGGTGGATCTGAGCCTCGCTGGCAGCATGCTGCCCTGGCCCTTGGCAAAAGGGCAAAGCCAAGCAGAACCTCACCATCCCGGGTACCTGGGGCACGGGAGCAGCCAAATATCCCCTTGCAGCCCCCCTGGAGCAGCAGCTGGGTGAAAACCAGGGGGGCTCCGGGCTGCAGGGCCCAGCCTGAGCTCTGGCACTGCAGCAGGCTGCGTAGGTGTCTTTCAAAAAGATCCCTTGAGCCTGGTGGCAGTGGGATATCCCACGTCTCCTGCTCCACCTCTGCCCCTTGGCCAGGCTCGATGTGTCCCGCTGTGGCCGTATCCGGAGGGGACATCTGGAGGTGCAGGATAGGTGCCGGCAGTGTAGGTGGTGTGGGGGGCACTGGGGTGCTGGGGGGTGCTGAGCGAAGGGGTGTTGGGGTGCTGGGTGCTGGGTGGTGGTGGTGCAGGGTGCTGGGGTGTTGGGCTGGTGGTTCTGGAGTGTCAGGGGTGCTGGGGGCTTGTGGTGCAGGGTGTTGCTGCTGGTGGTACTGGGTGCTGTGGTGCTGCGTGCTGGGGTGCTGATGGTGCTGAGTGCTGGGATGTTGGTGATACTGGGTGCTGGGTGCTGGGGTGTTGGTGGTGCAGGGTGAAGGGTTCGGGGGTATTGCTGGTGCTGGGTGCTGGTGATGCAGGGTGCTGTTTTCTGGGGTGCTGGTGGTGCTGGGTGCTGCTGATGCAGTTTGGTGGTGGTGCAGGGTGCTGGGTGCTGGGATGCTGATGGCATTGGGTGCTGGGTGCTGGCGGTGCTGGGTGCTGGGATGTTGATGGTGCAGGGTTCTGGGCTATCTCTGGTGCTGGGTGCTGGTGATGCTGGGTGCTGGTGGTTCTGGGGTGCTGGTAATGCCAGGTGCTGGGTGCTGATGGTGCTGAGCTGTTGATGCTGCAGGGTGCAGGGTGCTGGGCTGTTGCTGCTACTGGTGCTGGTGCTTCTGGGGTGTTCGTGCTGCAGGGTGCTGGGTGCTGGCAGTGCTGGGTGCAGGGGTGCTGGTGGTGCAGGATGCAGGGTGCTGGGTGCTGCTGATGCAGGGTGCTGGATGCCGGTGCTGCTGGCTCCCGTTTGTGCAGGAAACCGGGTGCTGAGCCCCGGTAATGCAATGTGCAGGATGCACCCCCCGAACCCCCCTCACCCCCCGGACCCACCCTGCAGCCCCTCCCCGCGTTGTCCTCCGCTCCGCCAGGGGGCGCCGTTGCCGGCGCTGCGCGGTGCGGGCCCCACCCGGCGGGCGGCGGGCGGCGGCGGGGCGCGGGGACAATACCGGGGCGGCGCGGCCGGGCCCGGCACGGCGCGGAGCGGACCCGTTCGGCCCCGATCGGCCCCGTTCGGCCCGGATCGGTTCAGCCCGGCCTGGATCGGTTCAGCCCGGTTCAGCCCAGCCCGGTTTATCCCGTTTCGGCTCGGTTGGTCCCGGTTGGTGCCGGTTGTTCCCGGTAGGGCCCGGCAGCATGCTGGCCCTCTTCAACAAGCTCCTGGACTGGTTCCGGGCCCTGTTCTGGAAGGAGGAGATGGAGCTCACCCTGGTGGGGCTGCAGTACTCGGGCAAGACCACCTTCGTCAACGTCATCGCGGTGAGCACCGGGACCCCCCCCCCCCCCAGGTACCCCTCCCGGTACCCCCCCGGTACCCCCCCCCCTTATCCCGGGACAGCCCCGGGTTGGGGCCGAGCCGTGCCCCGGGGCCACCGGGACCGGGAAGGGGCGGCCCCGAGGAGCCCGGGCCCGGCTGGGCCCTGCCAGCGCTGGGTGCCCCCGGGACCGCCCGGGGCTCCTCTCCCGGTCCTGATCCCGGTCTCGATCCCGGTCCCGGTTCTGGTCCTGCTTCTGGTCCTGGTCCCGGTCCCGGTGCCGGTCCCGGTCCCGTCCCCATCCCCAGCCCGTGCTTTGTCACGGGTGCCCCCAGCCAGCCCCAGGCCTCGCCGCCACCACGGCCTCGTCCTGCAGGGTGCCGCTCCGCAGCCTCCCCCCTTAGCACCAAACCGGCCTTTTTTCCTTTTTTTTCCCATTATTTCCATGATTTTCTTATTATTTTTTAATATCTTCCCGCTGCGGCACCGAGGAGCCCCATCCGGGCCGTGCCACCTGGCTGGAGATGCCCCGGTGCGTCCCCACGCTGGGGACATCTCCGCTCCCCATGGCACCGAGCCCCACAGCCGGGGGGCTCCGCACCCCCCCGGGGCCAGCTTTGTTCTCGGGGGGTCCCCACGAAGCCCCCCTCACCCCCAAATTTTTGGGGTCCTGCTGCGTTACCGCCGCCCTCCCCAAAATCGCCCTCTCCAAGCGCGCCCGCCCTGCCCCTGGCGCACCCCGAAGGGACGGTGCCGACGCCGTTTTTTGGGGTCTCAGAAGGAATTTTGGGGTCTCGGGGGGCTCGCTGGGGGAGGCAGACCCGGCACACATCTCCGGGGCTGTCCCAGTTCCCAGCCCTGACCCTTTTTCTTTGTGGGTTGTCCCTCGGCTCCGCAGCGGGGTGCTGTTGGAGGGGGTTCTGCAGAGGATTTGGGAGCTTGGCTGCGCCGCAGCTGTGTGCCGGGGGAGGGTTTCTGTCGGTGCTGGGCACGGCCGGGATGGAAAATGTCCTTCCTGAGGAGCCTGGAGGCCCAGGGGCGATGCCCACGAGCGCAGCGATGCGCTTCGAGCCCCAGGGGTCCTGGGTGTCCTGGTCCCTGCCCTGTCCCTGGTGGTTGCTTCTTTTTTGGGAGCGCTCAGGGCTCGGGTCCTGGGCTCCTTCTCAAGCAAACCCTCACCAGCCTCGGGTGGCGGGGAGCTGTGTGGCCCTGGGATGCTGACCCTAAGAACCAGTCCTTTAGGGGTCCGCCTCATCCCCGCCGTGGTTTGTTCTGTGGTCTGATGTCGGGGTGGGATGAGCTCCAGCGCCTGGGCTTGGTTTCATTTTTGGGGATGTTTGGGGAGCTGGGAGCTCCGCGAGGGGTTGTGGCACCCTCGTGCTCGGTTTGGCTCTGATCACTGAGCGAGGTGCTCAGCCCCTGCCACGCATCTGCCCCTGTGGGAAGTTATCTGGAAAGTTCAGATTTTGTGGCAGACACAGACTTAAAAAAAAAATAAGCGGTGACCTTTGAGGTAACGCCCCTGGCAGCGTGGAGTCGGCAGAGGCAGCTGGAAAAAAAAAAAAAAACAACCCCAAAAACTCCCAGCCCGACAGGATCCGCGTGAGAAGCGCCTGAACCATCCCGCCTGCCCTGAAGGTGGTGGAGCAGAAGTGCTCGGAGGGGAACTAGCTGTGATTCAGGCTTCTGGGTGAAAAAAACGAACCAAACCGAGCTCTGGAAAAGCGTCAGATTTCGGCACAGAGAAGTGCCCGGGGTCTGGGTGAGGTTCCCCAGGCTGCGGAGCCGTCCTGGCCTCGGGGCCGGAGCTGCCCCGGGAGGAGGAGGGTTTGTGTCCTCACCGTGCAGCGCTCGTGGCTGCTGTTCTTCACCCAAAAATTGAATCCAGGTTGCTGGAAGTCTGGGGACAGCCACGTCGGGTGGAGCACGGGGACTTTTCCTGGGTGGCCTTTGTGCTGTTTCCCTCTCAGGCTCCTTTTTTCTTTCCCTGGCTGTAGGGAGGTGAAGCTCCAGGGGCTGGAAGGCTGTAAAATGCCTCCGCTCTTGGCTTTCACCTCGGCTTTAACCAGGAGCTTTCAGCTGCCCGTTCCCTGGGGGAGTGTGGGGCTGACGAGGGGCACAAAGGAGGGTCGAGAGTTTTGGGATCCCCTCGGTGGCGCAGTCAGGAGCCTTTCGCTGTGGGATGTGCTCAGAAAAAAGACAGCTTCGTGTGATCCAGCGTCGCGCACGCACCGAGGAGCCGCTCTGCTGTGCTTTCCCCCCGGGCAGCTCAGCTCCCACCTCCCCCAGCGGCACGGGGAGAGGATGGGAAAGGTGGAATCGAGGAAACGTGGGGCGAGATGAAAGCAATGCCCCGGGTGGAGGAGAAGCCGAGCAAGAGGAGGACCCCGCTCGGTGCTCGGCGCCGGCAGGCAGCTGTTCAGCCATTTCCAGGAGCTCGTCGCGCGTGGTGCTTTGTGGGGAAGACAAACGCCATCGCTCTGAACGTGCCCCCCCCGCCTTCCCTCCCCTTTTTCACTGCCGGGCACATCTCCGCTGCGTGCCCCCCGCTGGGAGCAGCAGGGAAGGAAGCGGTGCCCGCATTTGGGGTGCCACCAACGTTATTCCCATCCTAAACCCTCGGCACGGCACCGGGCCGGCTGCTGGGAAGGAAATTAACTCTCTCCCAGCCAGAAGCAGGCTGCAGGAGCTCGGGGCTGTGACCACCTCTCTGGTGGTGCTGCGCCCTGCGCCCCTTCCCTGCTGCTCCTCCTGCACCCGAGCTCCTCACCCAGGAGGAGGTGGGGTTGGGGGGCGAATTTCTCCGCGTTCCCGGAGGAGAAGGAGCCTTGCTGCTGCGAGCTCGTGCAGCGTGAGCCGAGGAAAATGGGCAGCAGGATTCCAGCGAGATGGCACAGAGCAGGGCTTCAACAGCTTTAATCTACCTGGAGAGGGTCGGGGGGCAGGCAGCAGCAGGACAGGGCAGGACCGGGCACCCTGCGCTCCCCTTTCTGCTGGGCGCCGGCTCCGTTTCGCCCAGCAGGAACCCACAGCAGCTTGCCCCGAGGAGCAGAGCGTGGCAGGGCCGTGAGCCAGCCCCAATGCTGCAGGATCCAGCCCACGGGTGGGTGTGGGTGCCCTGGGGTGCGCGTCCCCACCCCGTGCCCACCCCAACCTGCACAGCTGAAGCCCCCTGGGCACCGAGGGCAGTGAGGATGCTGAGGGGGAGCAGCCCGGGTGAGGTCCTGGAGTTACCCCTCGGCACAACCCAAGGTCTGGATGTGGCTCCTTAAGGTGTGCTGCAATTCTTCTTTTATTTATTTGTTTATTTTTTAAATTTAAGAGCTCAGACTTGAAAGGAAGCCCCAGCAGAAGGTGAACATTTGCGGGGTGTGAATTTAGGAGGCAGGGGGAGCGGCCGGGGCTGGAGCTCTGCGCACCAAACCCCACGGAGCTGGATTCAGGTGGAAGAGCTGAGCACCACCAGCAGTGGGGAGCCTGCTGGGGGCTTTATTTCCCTGCCTGGTCAGGAGCAGCCCACTGGGGTTCCCCTGCCCTGGTGGTGTAAATCCCCCCCCTCCAGCCCTACCGGAGGATTTTTGCCACGTCCCCGTCTCCCCCCTCGGCTTTCACGGCCTGCGCCCGCCGCCAGGTTCCCCATTTGCCATGTTCTGGTTTTATTTTTTTTCCCCTTTCAATGCAAAAAATAAATGCAGTCCTCAGTTCCTCTAAACGTGGTGAATGTGTCAGCACCAGCCTAGCTCTGGGCTTCGTCGCTCCGGCTTTTTAATTATCGCCATTATGCGCGTTTGCTCCGCTAATTGACTCGGCTCCTCGGGAGCAGCAGCTTCCAGCAGGCAGAAAGGTTTCTGTGGGCCCTGCTTAAATATTTACCCTGGTCTCCTCCTCACTGCCTCGGAGAAAGTCAGGGGGTTTGTTAAAAATTCAGCTTTTCCTCTGGGGGCAGGCGACGCACCCCGGAATTTCAAGGAAATGGAAGGCTCGAGCCCGGGGAGGCTTTGCAGCCCGGCCCTGCTCCTCTCCTGCTGTGCTGTGGGGATTTATTCTTTGGGATTGATGGGCTTGGGGATGTTTTTCCAGTCTCTCAGAGGACCTTCGGAGCCCACGGTGGCTCCAGCAGGCTCCCCGCACCTCCTAGTCCCTCCAGCAGCCTCCTGCCCGGGGGTTTGGAGCCCAGCTGCTGGTGCTGGGCCACTGGGACACAAAGTCCTTCCCCCAGGAGCACAGCGAGTGATACCTCAGGACATGAAGCAGGGACAGGGCACGGCCAGGTGGGTGCTGAGCAGCAGACTTTACTACACACCAGACCCTTTTTATTCCCTTACCCCTCTGCTGCCACCTTTGTTCCCGTATGCAGCCTCTCTGCTCTCCCCTGGGTGACTTTTTACCCCAGAACTCAAAAGCCACCTCTGTTCAGCTTATCTAGGGGATCCCCTGCAGCTTCCCTTTGACGATGGAAGGACACGGAGCAACCTCAGAAAGCCCAGGGCAGTCCCTGTCCTGTGGCTGTGCCAGGTCCATGCCATGGTTCAAGGGGGTTTTGGGGTTTTGGGGCTGTGATGCAGTGCCGAAGAAGCAAAAGCAGCCCAAGGGTTTTCTCTTCCATCCGAGCAGCCTCGTTTTCCTGAAAGAACCAGAGCTTCTGTTTTACCACCTTCTTTATCTTAAGTATCATAAAAAAAAAAAAAAAGGAAAGGAAAGAAAAAAAATCCACAGAGCTGCATTGCAGGGAGGAGGATGAGTCTGTCCTGGAGAGCACCGGCGTGCCTGGGGCTGAGCCTGGGCTCTGCTGGCATCTCCTGGGCTCCCGGGCCAGCCTGGTGGCCACCCAAAGATGTGTCCCCAGGGCATTTTTTGCTCCCCAGGTCCCTGGGGAGGGTACCACAGCCCCTCGGCCAGCCCGAGCTGTTTGGCTTTTGTGAAGTGGTGGCATGGGAGCTGAGAAATGGCTCAGAAAAATCTGCCTGAGCTGGCCTGGCCTGGCCGCCCGGGGGGAATTTCCTTTGGCTCTGTGCCTCGGGATGCTCAGCTGGACTTTTGGGGGGGGCCAAAAATCTGCTACTGTGCTACTCCTGACCTGGCACCATCAAATTTGGGGCCAGTAGGAAGGGTTGGAGAGGGCTGCTGTACTGCAGGGTTGAACCAGCTTGTGGAGAGAACTGATCCCCGTGGTGTAGCCCCAAAATTGACCTTTTCTGGCAGGATTTGTGCGCCCGCTGAGGGAATCCCTCCTGGTGCTGCTTCCTGCCCTCACGAGCAGTCAATGTGTCTGGGGGGGGTGTCAGCACAGGTGCTGTGACCCCAAACCTGGGGACAAGATGCACCCAGTGACCTTATCACAGCCCTGCAGCCCTGCAGGTGCTGGGGGGGCACCCATGGGTGCCAGGACAGCGCAGAGACCATGTGTGATCCGTCCTGCACCGCGCTGTCACCTTCCCAGCCCGGCCTTTGTGGGGAAGGTTGGAGTCGGCCCTCTTCCCTTGGTGGGATCCCTGGGGAACGCTGCAGCTCCCAGGAGCTCCCTAGCGATCCTATTTTCCAGTCCAAGCCCGGTGACACCCCAAAACCTGCCTGCTGAAGCCACATTTTGGGTCGAATTTGGGTAGACGAGCGCCATCCCCGCTGTCAGCCTGTGCTGGAGGAATTCCTGTCCTCTCCCCCAGCTCCTAACCCAGCTGCTGGTCCCCGGGGTGGTTTGGGAGCACTCACAGCGACCTCCTGGCTGCTGTTATTTGCTGCCAGGAGGCAGGAAGGAAAGGAGAAGCAGAAGCAGCGAGAGCTGCGGGGTGCTGGAGGGGGGTAGGAGAGTCCCAAGGACTTGCTGACACCGTGGGTTTGGGCTTGCAGGTCGCCCCCCAGGCACTACACTGTGCTTAGCAGAAAATGGCACAGATTTCCCTTTCTGAGGGCTGTGGGAATTAAATAAATCCCCCCCAGGAGCCCTAGGGGAACAGATTTTGAGCCAGCGAAGGGTGGCCAGGGGGGAGCCATGCTGTCCCCAGTGCCTCCTGCAGGATTTGCACATCCCTCGTGGGGCTGGGTGGCCTCCCACAGGGCTGAGCGTGTTCTCTGCTCCCCTTCGAGGGGAAGATCTCAGGGTTTCATCCTGGTTTTATGCGGATTTTGTGAGCGGGACCTCAGTGTATGCCCAAAAAAAACCTTGGGGGGCTCCAAGGGCCGGAGTTGGTGCAGGGCAGGCAGCGGCAGCGTGTCCCTGGGCCGCCTCCGTCCCCTCTGCTCTGGTTTTGTTCCCTTTAGGAGGGACCTGGCAGAGGGTTTGGGGACATCAGAAGCCAGGCTGTCACCTGTGGTCCCGTTGAGCTGCTCGGGGCAGGCTGGGGGGGTTTCCGAGCCTCCTGACACGATTTTCTTTGCCTTGCAGTCCGGCCAGTTCAACGAAGACATGATCCCGACCGTGGGCTTCAACATGAGGAAGATCACCAAGGGCAACGTCACCATCAAGGTGGGGCACAGAAAAGAAACTCGGGGGGGCGATTTGGGGATGGGACAGGGGCAAAGGCAGGTTTATGGGCTCTGCTGGGGGCTGAAGGAGGCTGCAATTCGGGGGATCTGCCCCTTGGGGTGCGCAGATCCCCCCGGAGGAGACACAGGAGGAGGTGGCTGTGGGCCGGGTGTCTGCTGCTGCAGCTCAGTCTGAAGCTGGGAGGGCATCTCTGCCTGCTGCTGCGCTTCTGAGAGCAAAGCCGAGTGCTCTGAGCTGGCAAATGCATCCTCTGGGCTCCTGGGGTGGTGGGCACGGGGAAGAGACCCCAAGTTTCAGCCAGGGGTGCTCTCCACATGGCCGGAGGCTCGTTGCACCCAGGTTAGTCACTCTCCAGCTCCCCGTGGGGATTTCTTCTGTCTTTATCAAACCTGGAGCCTCCCGCTTGGGTCTGAGAGCAGGCGCTGGTGGGCGAGGAGGAGGGCATGGGGCTGGTTTGGGGCATGTTGGCAGGGCAGCAGGTGATGCCACCTCTTTCTTGTCCCCGTCACAGCTCTGGGACATTGGCGGCCAGCCCCGCTTTCGCAGCATGTGGGAGCGGTACTGCCGTGGAGTCAGTGCCATCGTGTGAGTATCCGCGAACCTGCAAACCAAAGCAGAGCTCGGCCAGGTAGGGGGGGACCGTCCCTTTGTCCCCATCACCCTGCCCAAGGCACAGGCAGCAAAAGGACCTCGAGTTCCTGCAGCATCACAGCTGGGGGGACCCTTCCCTTGTGCTCAGCATCCCTCAGCACAGCTCTGTTCCCTGCTTTTCCCCTTTCCCCTTGTCCTCGGGGGGGTGCTGAGCAAAGGTCCCTGCGTGGCGTGGCCCTTTCCAAGAGGGTAACGGGCAGCAGCACGGCCAGCAGCACGGCCCCAGCTCAGTGTTTGTGTGCTGCCGGGTGAACTTTGTGCCCAGAGGAGCCTGCAACGCTCGCTGCAGCCTGTCTGCAGCCTCCCAGCGCCTCTGCGTGTCCCCTGCTGGCAAATAACTGCAGCAAGATCTGTCCCAAAGAGGCCGGGGTGGGGATGAGCCTGGCAAGACACGCATAGGAAGCTGGCTGCGTGCTCCTAAGGATAAATATTTCCCTGGGAGATGAGGTTGGTGGTGTTTAAACCCAGGTAGAAAATCAGATTTTGGTTGTTCTTCACCAACTGACCTGTGCCCTGGGATTTGGGGAGGGCTGGTTTTCTGTACAGCCCCTCTGAATTGCAGGGCTGGTGAGTGGGGAGGGATGGGGGTGTCCTAAAAACGAGCCCTGCACGTGGCAGAGCCCTCAGCTCGCTCCTGGGTTGCAGCTCGGGGGCCTTTCTGCAGCTCTTGCACGGTGTTTGGGCTGGGTTCTTGGCATGCGAGGGTGCTGCGGGGTCCTGTCCTGCACGGGAAACCCCCACAGAACTGATGGGGCCATGAAAGAAGCACATCCACGTGCAGGCTGGCACTGCCCAGCTCCCTGCTGAGCCTCCTGCCCTGCTGCTGGGGGGCTTCCCAGTGGGACTGGGAGCCTTCTGTGCCGAGCACCCCCTGGGGGACCCCAGCAGCTCCTGCTCTTGCTGGTGGTCACCAGGCTGGGACATTTCCTTGCCACTTTTTTATTTTTTTATTTTTATTTATTATTTTTTTTCAATGGTGAGCTAGGAATGACAAAGCCCTGGGCTTTCCATTCCTTTCCATTCCTCAGGCTTTGTCACGTCCCTTTTCTCCTCTCTTCAGCCCCCCCAGTTTGCCATTCCCCATCCTCTCAGCACAGCAGTGCGTGTCATACGCCTTAAAAAGCAGCTGAAGCCTCTTTTTCCTATTTTTAATGAACTCTGCAAGGCCTGAGGATCTTGGTGGTGTTTCTCACTTCTCTCTCAGCTTCTTGATCTGTAAAATAAAGCCTGCGTCCGTCAGTTCCTCTCCTCTCTTTTGGCTTCACTTTCATGCTTTGCAGGATGGGTGTAAACCCCTAAGAGCTTGATTCCTTCGCTGAATCTCTCCTCGTTTACCCGGAGCAAGCCCTGCTGGCTGCTGCCTTCCCCACCCCTTCCTCTGGGCATCCCGGCTCATTTTGGCACGGGGAGCGGGCACCGCTATGTTGGTGGGTGTTTGTGCTCATCGTGTCCTTCCCGTGCAGGTACATGGTGGATGCCGCCGACCAGGAGAAGATCGAGGCCTCCAAGAATGAGCTTCACAACCTGCTGGACAAGCCGCAGCTCCAGGGCATCCCGGTGAGCTGCTGCCTGGGCAGGGCGCCCTGCGGGGGGGGGATCCACGCGTCCTAGCCCAGGGCTGGGCTGCAGAGCTCGTTCACAGCTCGGAGGGAGGTTTAGAAAAGACCAAAATAAACCCCTTCTGGCTGAGGTTGTCCTCCTGCAGGAATCCACACCTGATTTACAGGGGGCTTCTCGCCTAGGAGTGCAGCTGAGGGCTGGGATGTTTGGGGTGGGCGCTGGGCACGCCGAGCGTGCCGGGGTGGGACACCAAGAGAGCATCCCGAGCGGGCATCCCTTGGGAAGAGCTGCTCCAGGACCTCGCAGAGCATCCCAGGAGTTGGCTGCCAGCTGATTTAAGCTTCTGACATAACGCTGCGTTTGCAGCACTTCTGGGTGCTTTTATTTATTTAATTTTTTTGAGTACAAATCTACTCCAAGTGTAAGCTTGGGGGTGCGGCGCTGCTCGCAGAAACCCGAATTCCCCCAGGGAATTGAAAGGCCAAAACCTCTCACTGGGAATGGAAAGTACCCAGGAGATGCTGCACGTGAGCTCATTTAGGCTGTTAATTGAAGGGCTCTGCCTTCCCGTTGCCGGCTGGGGGGGTTTTCTCTACCCAGGTGCCCCCCAGAGAAGTGCCCAGGGCTGGTCCTGGGTGCCGGCAGCAAATCCTTTACCTGCCGACCAGGATCTTCACGTGTCCCCTCTCCCCCTCTGCAGGTCCTAGTCCTGGGGAACAAGCGAGACCTCCCCGGTGCCTTGGATGAGAAGGAGCTCATCGAGAAGATGTGAGTGTGCTGGTGGCTGCTCTGTCCCCAGCAGGGACACGTCTTGTCCCCAAACCCCGGCTGCAGGAGCCTGGGCTCCCTGTGCCACAGGGGGGCGTGGGGGCCTGGCCACACTCAGGGCTCGATGCTCGGGGCTCGGTGATGGTGTGGGGTCCCGCAGGGTCCTGCCCCTTCCCTGCTGCCCTCCCGCTCCAGCCCCGAGGCCTCTCGCCACCCCAGGGACCCTGCAGCGTGGCTCTGGGCACCTCTGCACCACCCCTGTCCTGTGGGCACCCCGCGCAGTCCCAAGTCCTTGGTGCTCCATCTCCCAGCAGTGTTTTGGGATGCTCTGAGGGAAGCTGCGTGGTTTCTTGGCCAGGCTGTCCCTGGGACCACGTTCCCCCTGCACCTCACGTAGCCCCTGCAGGGCGCTGAGCACAAAGCTGCCCAGCAGCCGGCAGGAGCCATGCGCCAGCGTCCTCACCTGCCCTGCCCGGAGCCCCCCAGGGGTTTGGGGTGACGTTGCCCTGGCCGGGGTGCCCCTTCTCAGAGCCTGGCTCCCAGGGGACCCTTTAGAAAGGCTCCCCGGGAGACTCTGGGGAGGCTCCCATGGGTGCAGCCCTCCTGAACTCGCCCTCTCCCTCAGGAACCTCTCCGCCATCCAGGACCGAGAGATCTGCTGCTACTCCATCTCCTGCAAAGAAAAGGACAACATCGGTGAGTGCCGGCACCTCGGGGTGCCACGGGGGGGAGCAGGGGTGCTGCAGCGCACCCAGGCTGTGCCCCACGTCCAGGACGAGGGGAGGGAAGAGGCCGTAACCACCCCTTCCCTTCGCAGACATCACCCTACAGTGGCTTATCCAGCACTCGAAGTCCAGGAGAAGCTGAGATCCCGCAGGCTGCAGCTCGGGTCGGGAAGATGCCATTGTACAAGCCCATGTCCCCCCCTCTCCCCCCATCCTTCTCCTGCTCTGTCCCTCCAGCTCTCTCTCTAGATGGGTATTTTTAGGGGACCCCAAACTCCGCTCGCCTTGAGGCGGAGCCCTTGTTTTTATTGTAAAGAACATGTCCGACTCTGCCCTCCTCTCTCTGTCTCTTCCTCCCGTTTTGGCACTGTTCTGTTGTTGTCTGTGTATACAGTATATATATATATGTATATATATTTTAATTTTTTAATTTAAGAGCTAGCGCTGTTACTAAACTGGGCCCCGGGAGCTGTAGGAAGGCTGCGGGCCCCCCCCCACACACCCCGAGGCCGGCTGAGGGTCAGCAGTGGGAGGAGGATGAGGGTGGTGGCAGGAGGAAGGTGAGGGCGGTGGCAGAAAGGCAGCCCCCAGGAAGGAGCCGGGCAGGTCCCCAGGGGCTCCCTCCCCCTGACCCCCCCAGGGGTGCAGCATCCTGGGGGTGCGGGGAGCCCGCCTGCCCTGCCTCCCCCCCCAAGACTCCACCTCCCACTGGGCAAGGTTTTTTTTTGGGGGGGGCAATGCCATCTCTCCCCCCTCCCCAAGCCTCCTTGCCCCCCTGTGTGGCTGGGGTCAGGTCAGGGACCCACCACGACCCCGTTGCCTCCCCCTGACCCTGGTCCTCTCCTTGCTGCCCTCAGCACCTCGCCCCCCCATCCCCTGTGTCCCCCCCCCCATTCCTGGGGCCTGATCCTGCCCCAGCTGGGGGCTAGTGCTGACACAGGGGGAGCCCAGCAGCCCCCCAGTGGGGAGCAGGGGCTGGCCCCCGTCCCCTTTCTGCCCCATCTGCCCCCGGAGCCACCTCGTCCCCATGTCCTGGGGAGGCTGGGGCGGCCCCGCATGCTCCAAAGGGCTTTTTTTGGGGGGTGGGGGGGCACAGGGGCTGCTGGCCTTGGCTGAGGACATCATGAGGGACACACACGGAGTCACTTTGCCCTGGGATGATGACTCCTTCCCCAGTGTCACCTGCAGTGAGGGGGTGCCCTGGGATGTGCCCCCCTCCTGCAGCAGCCCTGTCTCTGTTCCCCAGCCGGGGGGGGCCTGGGGTTGGCAGGGTCGGGGAGGGGGGTAAGAGGAGATCTGGGGGGGGTACAGGGAGGGTTTTTGTGCCCACTGCTGAGTTATGGGGTCTCTGTGCAGCCTTGGGGCCGGGCCAGCTTGCTCTGGGCCAGTTTGGGGGGGTGGGATATTGTTGGGGGGGGTACAAGGGGGGATGCTGGCAGCAGCAGGGGGGGCGCATGGTGGGCGGCACAGCGGGGAGGCACCGGCCTGTCCCCAGCCCCAGGCTGGGGGGGACAGGGTGGGGGTGGCCTGGGGTGGGGGCTCTCACAGCCCCCGCGCGGCTCCAAGGGGGGCGGCGAGGCCGGGGGGGGGTCCTCTTCTGTTCTCGTTTTTGCAGAATTGCACAAAGAGAGGTTTCCTTTTTTTTTTTTTTTTAATTTAATGAATTGTAAAGTGTCGTCGTTCCTCCCCCCGCCCCCTTATTATTATTAATTTTTTTTTTTTAAGAGATATTTTGGCTCAGACTTGACCTCTGTCGGGAAATGATTCTTGTAACTGTACAATTTTTTTGCCTCCTAATGATAATAAATTAACAATTTTGCGTTGCTGGGGGTGGTTGCAGTCCTTGCTTGCTCTCCGCCGCTGCCACCCCTCCGCCCTGGGGGCCGTGCCCGTGCAGCACCCGGTGCTGGAACCCGGCTGATGGCCCCCACTGCTTCATTTTCTTCTCCTGGACCTGCAGAGGGACTTGGAAACCCCCGGCTGTGACCATCGCTGCTGCCAGACCCTCACCCACACCCTCCCCGGGGCTGTTGCGGGATGGTGACGCTGGTTTTGGTGCAGGGATGTTATGGGATGGTGATGCTGGTTTTGGTGCAGGGTTGCTGGGGGGGCTCCTGCCCCATCTCCCTGCCCCCTTTACCTGTGTCAGCTCCTCCCCAGGACTTTTGACCGGTGCTGGTGGGGGGCACCCCTGCCCTGCACCCCTCGGGGCATGTCCCTTTGCACCCAGGGCTGCGCTTGGTGCTCCCCAGCCCCCCTGCCCGGGGTACCTGGATGCAGGGTCCGAAGCGGGGCCAGGGTCCAGCCTGGCACTGGGGCCGTGCATCACCCGCAGCCCCCCCCCCCCTTTGCTCCTTCCCTGCCCCCAGCCTGGCTCCCTCCTCCCCACGCACCCAGCAGCAACAAGCCGCCCATTGTTCGCCCTTGGCCGGGGCTCAGGACGGAGCGGCACGGAGCGAGCGCATGAGAGCGGCCACCTCTCCCTGCCTCCCGCCGCCCCCGCGGGGCTGGACCCCAACCCAGACCCCGCTTACCCCCCCACAGCCAGCCTGCCATCCACCCACACCCCATTTTTTATGCCTGCACCCCGAGCTGGGACCCCCATCTCCCCATCTCTTATCCCCCAAACCCGCTGTGGCCCCATAGCGCCGCCAACACCAGCCCGGGGAGTGTGTGTGTGTGGAGGGGGGGGGGCAGGGTTTTGGCGGTGGAAAAGAAAAACCCGATTTTGTGCTTTGGGAAGAAAACTGGGCCTTTTGTCTCCTTGGTAACGGGGCTGAGAAAGCCAAGCTCGGTGGGTGCCGGCGGCGCACAAAGCCCGCAGTGAGCCCCCCGCATTCACCCGGCCGTAGCAACCCGTCTCCCTCGCCCCGGCATCCCGCGGGCTGGGGCGGGTGCCAGGCGCACACAAGGAGCTTTCACAGCCCCCGGGACGGGAAGGGGGGGGGCTCCCAGCACGGCCAGCCTGCCCCCGACCCGCTCCCACCTCCAGGGTGCTCCCAGCGGCCCCAAAAAGGGAGCAGGAACCCGGGGCGAGGGGGCGGCTGTGGGGTTTGGGGGAGCCGGTGGTGTGAAATCAGCGTTTGGGGAGCGCTTTGTGCTCCCCCCACCCTCCCCATGGGGATGTGTGGGGTTGGGGGGGGTGAAAGCTCAGCGCTGGGCTTTACTGGGACCAGTTCAAAGCTCTGAGACCAGTGCTTGTAGGGCTCAGCAACACCCCAGAGGGACTGGGATGGGGGCGCTGGGTACCTTCCCCCATCTCCTTTAGGTGCTGCCTGCCCAAATGGGGCCACTTTCCTGCCCCCTGTGTGTGTCCCCCATGTCCCCCCCAAGCTGCCCGTGCCCACCCGGAGCCCCCCAGCCTGGGGGAGGAGCGGGGTGCCACGCAGACCCCCCCCAGGCGCTGCTGGACGTGCAGGCACGACGTGCTCTAGCTTACTGCTTTATTGAGCTCTTACAGGGCGCTGCTGGGACCCGCTGGGACCTGGTGGCTGGGACCTTCCCCTACGGTGGAATTGGGGGGGGGCGGCAGGAGGGGACGGGGGGCAGGACGAGGGCAGGGTGCGTTTGCTAAAAGTCCTCTGCGAACCCTCCTTGGCGTGGGAGGGGATCTTTCCTGCGCAGCTCCATCACCGGAGCAGCACCCCCTGAGCCCGGCCGGGCAGCGGGGACGGAGGGTGGGGGCCGGAGGGTGCTGCTGTCCTCCCGACGTAGCCACGAGGCCAGGACCCCCCTCCCCAGCCCAACACGGGCTCGGAAGCCCCCCCCTTTCCCCGGCGCAGCCCCTGAGCTGCTGCTTCTTGCTTTGCTCCACGTCCAGACACTAAAACGACGACGTTTGGTCTCGGGGGGGGTTGAGGAGGTGGCGAAACGAAATCTCTACAGCCCCCCGGGCGGCGCTTAGCACGGCGTGCCCAGGGCCAGCAGGGGCGGAGGGGACTCCCGGGGCTTGTCGAAGAAGATGGAGGAGGACATCTCCGTTTTCAGCTTGCTGTCGGCGCTGCCCTCGCTGGAGGCGGCGTCGGGGCCGCAGCCCTCGCAGCAGCAGCAGCAGCAGTCCATGAAGGCCTGGCCCAGGGGCCTGCAGAGGCAGAGGAGCAGGACGGGGGTCACCGAGCACTTGAAGAAGAGGAAGAACTGGTTGATGAGGCCGAGCAGGTCCAAGGTCTGCTTGGACATGTCGGGGGACATGTAGGCCACCACGATGTTGCAGACGTTCTCCGGGATGGCGCAGAGCCCGTAGACCACGGCCAGCCCGATGATGGTGCAGTTGAGGTGCTTCTCGCACTGCCCGTGCTTCGTCCCTCGGCTCTCGGCCTTCTTCTTCTCCCCGCCGCCCACCCGGCGGGTCACCAGCTGGCAGCTGACGGTGAAGAGGACGGGCAGGCAGAAATAGCAGCCGAAATACCACCACATCCGCGCGTTTTGGTAGGTGAGCACCAAGGAGTAGACGGACTCGGGCAGCGCGGCCGAAGGCCTCATGGTGCAGTACTCCGACACCGCCCCCGACACGGGCGACGTGTCCTGCGCCAGCTGCCAGAGGAGGATCTCGGGCACCGAGAGCGTCATGGAGCCCACCCAGATGACGGCCAGCTTGGCGATGATGGACTGGCAGCGCTCGATGGGCCGGGCACTGGCCTGCGGGCTGGTGGCCGCGTGGAACCGGTCGATGCCCAGGGCGCAGAGGCTGAAGGTGGTGACTCCCAGCGACGACACCTGGCAACGGGAGAGGCAGAAGTGGGTTTCGCTACAGGGACACCTCAGGGGATTTGGTTTTTATCACCTCAGGGCTTTTGGTTTTATCACCTCGGTGACAACCCCCAAATACTCAAGCCTGCAGCCCTCGAGCCGTCCTCCTTGGTTTTACGGAGGGCACGGCCTGTGGCTGCATCCCAGGTTTGGGGCTGCTTTCCTGTGACTCCTGAGAGGGCAGGGGATGAAAATGTCCCTTTTTGACCCGTCTGTCCCTGCTGAAAGGGCACGGGATGAAAATGTCCCTTTTGTGTCCTGTCCCTGCCCCGCTCCCCGTCCTACAGCAGGGAAAGGCCTCGGTGGGCGGCTGTCTGTCCATCCAGCCAGGATGGGGATGGCAGGACTGTCCCTCAGGCTCTTCCTCCTTTCTGAATGGGTTTAGGGGAGGAAAACCAGGGAACGTCACCCCCAGCAGAGCCTTCCCAGGGCCCTCCAACTGCTTCGTCCCTGCCCTGCCTCCTGCTGCCCCGGCAGCCCAAAGGAGCCGGAGCTGCCCTTGTCACAAACCAGCTCGGGGCAATTTCCGCTGCATTGAAAATGGCAGGAAAAACATCCCCGTCTGCCAAGGGGAAGAGGCCAGAGGAGGCAAAGGGAGGGCTGGCAAGGCGCTGAGGGTCACAATCAGCATTCATCGTCCCGGCCCCGGGGCCGCAGCATCGCTCGGCGCCAAGCCCCAGGAGCACGGTGCAGTCACATGCTGGTGCCCCCCGGCCCCGCGGCCGTTCCTGGCCTCACGAAGCCACCCCCCCCAATAGGTTTGGCAAGAAACAGGGCCGGCACCCCGACCCCAAACCAGGTCAGCCATCCCCGCCCAGCCTTTTGCTGTGGCCCTGGCTCGGCCTCGTGAGCATTGCAGAGCACAGCCGCTCGTGCCCAACACCCAGCGTCTCCATCCAGCTACGCTCAGCAGCATCTCCCCCGACTCAGCATCATGCCCCCAGCCCAGAATTGCCTCCCTGACCCCAGCCCCACCACCCAGGGCTGCTTCTCGTGTCCCAGCACCTCTGCCCCATACCCAGAGGCACCCCAAGCATCCAGCACGGGCGCTGTGTCCCACCACGGTGCCACTGCCTCTCCTCCACCCTGTGCTGTCCCCCAGCCTCTCCTCTCCCTCCTGGTGCCCCAGTGTGCAGCTCGGGCTCAGCACAGCACCCTTCCCCTGCGACCCAGCAGATTTGCTCCTGGTGGGGCCATCCTACAGCCTGAGATGTTTGCACCATGCCGGGAACGTGCCTCCCTGGGGCTGTGCTGTCAGCAGCCCCCATGTCTCAGCAGCCCTCCTGGGGGCACCCCGCTGTCCCCAGGGCACCCTGGTGCTGCTGGGTCACTGCACCCAGAGGTGCCACCTCCAGATGAAACCACCCCACAGACACAGTCAGGGAGATCCTGGGGTTCAGGCCACTGCAGACCCTCTTCAAGAAGGGGACTGGTTTGGGGATTGCCCCCTTCCCTCTCCATATTCCTGCCCCTCTCCGAGTCCTCTGTCTGCATGACCGTGACATGGGAAGCCTGAAGTGGAGGAGAGGGATGGGACTGCCCCGTGTTTCCATCACCTTGTCACTGCCAGGGCAGATTTAGGGCAGATTTAGGGCCGTGCCTGGCAACTGGCACACGGCAGTGGGCACCATCACCCAGGCCTGCACCCAAAGGACCCAGCAGCAGCACCGGGTGCCACCCTGCCCCTGCAGCACCCCCCTGCAATGGCACCCAGGAGCCCTGCGGGTCCCAACCCCCAGCAGAAGTGGGACAGCTCAGGGGGATTTTGGGGAGGGGGCGTGATGGGACGTGTGCCATCGGGTGGGCCTGGTGCTTGGGGACGGGGTTCAGTGGTGGACTTGGTGGGGTCAGGCTGATGGTTCTGCTTTACAATTTAGGGATCTTTTCTGACCTAAATGGTGCTGGGTTTCTTTGAGCACACATCTTGGGGCCATTTTTTGGCTGTCTGACAGGTGTGGGCATGGAGGGGGGCAGCGGGGATAAGTAAAAATCTCAGGTTCCCGACCCTAATCCTGCCCCAGCACCGCTCCCCGGTGCCCCACCTGCAGCCCCCTGCCCTCGGTTCCCCCCCAGCAG